GAAATTGTACATCTACTTTGTGCAAAATTTATGGTGATTTATGCTAGTGATCGCAAAAGGTAGGTGCAAAGCAGCGACTATTCATGCAGTTGATGATCTGAGTACTTCAAGTCCGGTGCAAAAACTCACGATCGCACGAGCCCGCCCGGTGCGTTCCAGCTTGGGTTAACAGTTGTTCCTCTGCATTTTCTCATATTTTGTCGTATATCTTTACAATTCTACAATATTTTTAAACTGATTAGTAACCGTAACTAAGTTCAGTGTAACCATCAACATTATTATCGCCATTATTATTATCATTATTATCATCATTATTATTATTGTGATTATTCTATCCTTACGGCTGGAAATGAAATTTGCAGAACGCAAGATTCTTTCTGATCCATCATTGTTTTGCAGCAAAAACAGTATTTGTACCAGATTTTGCAAGGGATATGTTTCTGTCATCAGAGGGCTATTATACATCGCGATTTGAAATCGCAGAATCTTCTAATTGACCCACAAAAAGGTGTCATTAAGCTTGCTGATTTTGGCCTGGCACGAGCAGTCAATGTCCCAGTGAGGGCTTATACGCAAAATGTAAGTTTTTCATTTTCTTTTTGTTTTTTTTTCTCTGGGTTTCGCTGCGTCGAGTCTTCGACGGCTGTAGACACTGAGCTGCTGAAAATTTCTGCTTCTGTTCAAAGCATTCAGCACAGGGCCGGTTTTCGAGATAACTACAATACAAAACCAAATGCTTGCAGGGCAATTTGTTTCATTTGAAACTGCTGATGCTAGCTATTTTTTCCGTTTAAACAGTGTTCCAAGAATGAGAAGTTTCGTTGTTGTTAGATAAGAGCAAGGAATGGAGGTTGCCAAGAAACCCGAACTGTTGAAACGCAGTTTGTGCGAAATGATGGTACGCCCTCTCTCTCAACTTACCGGTGAATGCCGTGATATTGGAAGAAGTTGGCTGAAAAGATATGGGTTGAACAGCGACCTTCGCCTAATGAATCGGCTATTTCTATATTTTGGCGACTTAAGGGCTCCATAATGGCAGTCTACGCTAGTGAGCCAATTGATAAGCCGACTGTAGCAACCAGTTTGGCTTTGGGTGCGAAAGTGTCGACGGCGTGATAAATTGCCGTCGAAGTGAGTAAGGAAAATTATCTAAACTTCTGAGTGAACGGTTATAGATTGTTTCGCTGTGGTATCGGGCTCCGGAAATCTTGCTTGGTGCAGTTCGTTATGAGTTTGGAGTGGATATCTGGAGCATAGGTTGTATTTTTGTTGAACTGGCAACCAAAAGTGCTCTGTTCCCGGGCGATTCGGAAATTGATCAGATAATCCGCATATTCAGGCATGTCATCATATTGCTACTATTTGTCATTTCCCAAAAAGCTGTTGTCTGCTCGGGTCAAAAGTTTTTTTTAGGATTCTGTCAACTCCTACTGAAGAAAAATGGAAAGGAGTAACTTCTCTACGTGATTATAAGGAGTCGTTTCCACAATGGCCGAGGGATTGCTTGGAAGAAATTCTTGGCGAGTACATGGATGCTGAAGGCCTCCAAGTGCTCCGGGTACAAAACAGAGTTTTATGAAGACTTTTTTAAAATTCACAAATTTTGTGTAACCGCATATTTTCCCAACCACTATTCACTAGTCAGTTTAGATATAAGTTACATCTTATGCACCAGTGATCGGACCCTAATGCTCCGAGATTTTCATTTCTCGCAAATATTTCCATTTGTTTTTTAGGCAATGCTGGTATACGATCCAGCGCGGCGTATTTCAGCGAAAAGACTTCTCAGGCATGAGTACTTCAGTGACGTTGATCGAAGTCTTCTTCCGGCTGGTGATTATGATGGTAGTTCTCTATGGTGATTCTTGGCCCGTAAGCCGCCACTTTTGCATTTGCGCCTTTCCCCTACCCCCATTTCATGCTCGCCATTTTTATTCAAACGCTTAAGCACTTTATTGTTGAAAAATGCTGATGATTGATCAGGCTTTGGGAATTTTCCTGAAAACTGTACTAATGCGCTACGTGCGAAAAACTGTTCTCTTGTGTTTGTATTATTCCTTCTTCAATATATTAAACTTTCTGATTTTTCGTCGACATTACCAAATTTATGTTTCATGTAAGTCTTTTTTTTGCAATGTCCCCTACGAGCAATTCTTTGAAATTCGTCTTTTTTTTCTGTGATTCAACACTGAGTTAAAATGTTGTTTCCTCTTCATGAAGCTTTCCAATGCTAAGCATGCTCACAATTGATTTTTGTCCTATCGTTATATATATAGGTGCAAACTGAAAACTTTTTTCGCTTATTACTTATTTTGGAGAATTTTCATTGAGCTCGCAACATGACAGTGATCAGTCTGGCACTATTCGGTGGTTGGTAAATGTGATCAGTCTGGCACTATCACTTTTTACCCCTCTCTTGCAGGAAAGCGCTGAATGCTTGTGCACATTTTTGAACACATATACGGCCATTGAGCTCGTGGCCTCTGTAACTTCTATATCGCTCAGCTCATTTAGCGGCGATCCTGAAGCTTCTCGATGACAGTTGTCACTCGTAGAACGAGGTGTGCTAGAAGTTAATAGCTCGGGAACAACAGCGGCACTAGGTTGTTTTGCACTAGAAAGCGGAAATAGCAGTAGGCTTTATAACATCTGTCTTTGAGGGACTTGTTGAATATTTTGAAGGGCAATTCCGTGGCGGAAAGGGAGGGGGGAGGGATGAGAGGGAGGGAGAAACTCCTGCAGTCTCCTTGTCATTACTTATAATGCAAATGGATGCCCTTTCGGGCATCCATTTGTTAAACAAAGCCGGTGATCTTTTAACTTTTGAGAAATTTTGGAGCTTCTGGCATTTTTGGCAATAATTTGGCGCTGAATTTGGCTTTTCTGGGTATTTGTGCACGCTTTTCAGTGTAATTTACAGTCTTTTGGCTGATTCCATTGTCTTCTGAACAAATGGCGCTTGTCGAGTCTTGTTCTTCGCTGGCTTCATTTTCCTCTCTTGAATCAGTCTTTCGTGCTTTTTATTTAAATTTCTGCGAATATTTATGCATTTTTGCTTATATGCAAATGCAACCCAGGCTGGAACGCACAGGGCGGCCCATGCGATTATGCGTTTTTGTACCGCACTTGAATTACTCAGGTCATTAACTGTATGAATGGCTGTTGCTCTACTCCTACCTTTCGCGGTCATTAGCATAAATCACATCATGAATTTTGCCAAGTAAATGTATAATTTCTTTCTAACAGTCGTTCTTTAAAAGTAGCCTAGTTGTTCAGTGAGAAATTTTTTCGTCAAGACTTTTAAGTGCCCGTACGTAAGAACCACGCGTACCTCAA